GTACCACTGATTTACAAAATTAACTATAATTAATAATAATACAAATAAAGAAGATAATAATAAATAAAAGATAAAAAATAATAATTTCAGGTGTTACAATACCAAGGATTCTGAACTCATTTTTATCGGATCTACATGACCTATATACGTATGCTACCCTGTCATTCATTTCTCGCCATAATTTCACTTCATCATCATCTTTTTTATGCTCAGTACAAATTATGCAGGAACACTCGATAAACATAAGTTCATACAACTTTTCTCAATGTTTTTTTATAAATATAACATCGGGTCGTTTGCCTTGCTTACCCCTTCCTCTTCTGTCAGCACTAGCCAAATTTTGCCTTTCCACACTAAACAAAAAAAATTAGTTGATTATGTAAAACATGTATAATATATAATTTATCAAACTTACGTGCTAAGAAAAACCATATTTTTTTATTGGGAGCTTTCTTAGGGAGGCCTGAATAAGAGGAACTATTATATCTGTTATGTATGTCCCCTCACTTTGAGCACTCACAAACTCTACGTTGTAAGCTGGATTCTTCCAAATATCTCTTAAGAAATCGAGAATATTTTCTGTAACATTTACCAAAGTCTTGTCACTTTCCTTCCAAGTATTATCATGGAAAAGATGTTGTGGTATAGTTTCCATATCATCATGAAAATTTTTTACAAAGATAACGCACATATCGTGAATAATAGAAGGTGTTTGTACCTGCATCTTATTGAATGGTCTCATAAAAGATTTTTTTGCCCCACTCGACAGGTTTTGAACTAAATCAGACTCATCACTTATTACCTTACTAGCAAGTGGATCTCGCCATGTTAAATTTGATTCAGATATTTTATTTATCTTCTCTTGTAATTCTAGGGTTAATTGAGAGGAACTTTGCTATAAAAATATTATAATGCAATTAAAATGAGAATTTCTTAGTAAGTATTCTGAATGTATAATGACTATAATATAGTTAATATATCTGTACTCACCGAAAACTTTCTTTTTAAGTCGCCAATATTTACAGTAATTTCTTGTCTACTAAGATGCTTCTCTAATCTTGCCTTTTTTATATCATTAACACTACGAACTCCTTCAAAGGCATTATTAAACTGACACAAAAAGATATGTGTTAGATTTTTTTCAATAGTTATGAATCAACTAAATATCACAAGCTTGTGTCATCAGAATATTATAACAGGGTTACTACTTCTCTGTGGCCTGCAGATCCATGCCTCCCCATTTTTCTGCAATTGAATATCAAAACTTGCGAGATTAAAGCCAGAGTATCCTCATGCGTCTCCAGGTATTGAACTCCCGGTACTAACAGACTAATGAACACCCAGGATTACCTCTATTTTTATAGAGTTGAATCTATAATAATATGTTAACAGATCACCTCACTGACTAAAGTCTCCACAGGTTCGAAAATTCAATATCAGAAATGCGTCAATCATCAGATGATACTAAGAAGCTTATTTTATTCTTTGAAACAATGATAACTAACCTGTATAGAAATCTTAAGAAGCTTATTTTGAGCTATCAAATTATTAGAATATATATTTGTTGAAGCGTCGATAGCCCAGTTAACTATTTCTCTCAACGTATCTTGTTGAATTAATGGTTCATCCTCCATTACTTGGTAGATAACTGAAAAAGCGATTATATGCTCTATGGGAGAAGTAGTAAAAAAATTATAGATTGTTTAATATAATTCAGAAGACATGTTTGTGATTTATTTGAGTTATAAAAATATGAGTTAGAAATACTAGCTTCGTTATTAGCTTCGTTATATAATAAAAACACAACTAAAACTTTCAACAGCACCAATATACTCTCCTTTTAACGTGTCTAGTTATTTCCTTTTTAATATCTCGAAAAGCCATATATGCACGAGAACAAAAAATATGTATATGTTCCATGGTAAGCTATTTGAGTATGATTATGAAATCCATTATACTTTCCTTTTATCGCTTTTCATATCGTACCGAAGAATAGATTAGGAAAAAAAAAGTAGCGTATGTATAAGAACAAAGACTATGTATATATCTCGAGCTGGTTATTCAGATTTGTACATTAATATCTCTATTTGTAAAAAGTACAATATATCAGATTAGTTTTACGATAAATATAAATAGTGAAACAGTAAAGCTAATAAAAGTATAAAAAGTGATGTTATATATCTGCTTTTTCACACAGATATGCAAATGTAAGGGGTGCTAATTAAATTTGGTAATCGGTGTATCACATGATCAAATTATGCATGCAGGTTCTATTACATTCGAATTCCTTCTATAACACATATCATATGATGGTTAATTATTTTAGCGAATATATCCCGCCTTTTCGCAGTAACTGCTCAAAGCCAGAAAAAAATCAGATAACATATATTGATAACATATACATCTTTTTTCTGAGAGACAAAGAGGAAAAAAGGAATTCGCACGACTATTTACCAGTGCAATTTATGAACCGGTTTTGGTACTTATATCCGAGAATCAAGCATATGTCTGAAATAGATTTTTATGTAGTAATCATGAGCCATTTGTTGATTTCATATGTTCTGTCAATCGTTATAAGCAGTCGTACATAACTAGTTAGAGCTTTGTTGTTTTGTAATATCTACATGAGCAATTCTATATAAATACAAACGTACTACTCATATTTTTTACAACAAATTTTAAGTATCTTGATACTAGCTCAGATAATATTTTCATCATATAACTTCTGAAACTCTTCACAGCTCTAAAGAGATATGTCTCGTATTTCTCGGTATAAGATCAGGAGTTATACA